GGGGTTACTAAGTAGTGGGCTGACACCAGAGGGCAAAAGCATTAAACACTTAGAAAGCTTGAATTGCATTAGCCAAAGGCCATGCATAATAGAGAAGGGGAAATGTTGCAGTCATGGGAAATATTCCAAAAATCATTGTTCATGATCACTTGGAGATTTCCCACCCATTAGAGGGCGTTTCGGACAAATTGCAGAAGTGGAGATCGGATAAATGATCTTTTCAGCCAATTAGTTCGAAACAACAGAAAACTGAGGCTGAGATCATCTGGGCTTGACTTTTTTAATTCAGTTTTAATAACTTGTTAAAGTTCTTTGTCTTGTTTTTATAAATGTTAATAAATCCATCAAATGCTGACAACGGGTGGCAGACAGCGTTATTATAGTAAACTAAAACTAACTAAATAATGAAAACTGAAATTGAAAAAATATTTTAGCTAACCAAAATAAAGAAAAACTGTAATCAAATTAAAAAACTATAACTAACTAAAACTGTATAATCTTTTTACAAAACTAACTAAAACTAACTGAAATTATAGATAGAATATCCCTGGTTTTAGTGTTTGTCAATTTTTTTCTTTTTTTCAATTGAGTAGTTTCACATTAGTTGTGGGCAGCTTACGGCACCTCATGGTCCCGGTTGGTGACAACTATTATTGTTCTAAAATAATCACCCAAGTCCTTAGTTGGCAAAATTGAGTTATGCAATTATTTTAGGAAGGTGTCGCTATAGTGGACCGTAGTGCTGGGTGGTATACCGTTTTGTACCGAAAACTGGTTTTTATTTTTGTTATGATTAGGGTTGGGCAATATTGGCAAAAAAATAAATCACGATTAATTGTGGTATTTAGCYGAKAACGATWAATTTGACGATTAATCCCCTGGAGTCCCTGGACACCCTTATGTCCTAGTAACATGACCAATTTAGTGGGAAAGATTTGCTCTTCATAAAAATCTGTTCCAAATTGTGTCAAAATTACAGACTTCAGGCTATACATCAAATTTTAAATTATGTTGATAGATAAATAAGTTACAGAACTTTTTTTTAAAATGTTCATCATGTTTGAAGCAGAGAGGAGCAGCGAGCGGATTCTACCTGTTGGCATTAATCATATTAATTGCCAATTGCCAAAAATTAATTGATTAATGTTTTTCTGACGATTAATCACACACGATACGATTATGCCCAACCCTAGTTATGATATGACTTTTCTGAGTACCGGTGTAAATAGCCTGAACATGTGCGGAACATTTCGTCACGGCCGCCAGTTCCTGGGGACACGTTTCCGCGCAGCACCGCTAAGCGCATTAGCATGCTAACGTTATTGTTGGAACAACTGGCCGTGGGTGGTGTGTTTCAGCCGCTTATATGGTCTGACGTAAAAAAACACATCCCGTTTTCACCATCGCTGAATAGTAAACAACTCTTCAGTGACGTGCACGGTTAGATTTAATGCGCTACGCTATAATGGAGACGTTATTGCATGGAGACTCTAGCGTGCTTCTATTGTGAAAAGCCCCCCGTGTGGGGGGGGGGGGTAGATTTGTAATGTAGCGAAGTTGACTGGTGTGTAAGGTGAGTCGTCCTTTTAAGTTTTATTAACACGTAACGATAGAACAGACAATGATTTTTTCTCAACCCCTCACGATCGGACCTGAATGCATGATTACTGTCTACAACCAGGTAAAGAAGAAAAGATGTACAAGAGGAGGGAAACAGTGATACAGAGGTACAGTAAAAGAAAAAAAGTCATAAGCAAAGTTTGTACATTTTATTATCAGCTGAGCTGTGAGGAAAAAAAATACCGTCAAATACCGTGAAACTGGTATAATTGTTGAAAATACCGTGATATAAAATTTGGGTCATATCGCCCAG